AGGAGGCGCTGAGGGGCCAAGTGCTGGGGGCTTATGTGGAATTGGGGCGTTATTTGTGTCGTTTGGATCTGCTGCCGTCTCAGGGGTGTCTGGTTGGGAAAGGTTGCGTTGCGCAGAGCTGAATTCCGTGCTGTTTCCTTTCTCTTCCCCAGCTCCGTTCATCCTGAAGAAGCTGGACAGTATATGAGGATGTGTGAACTGCAGAGAAGAGTCGATACATGAAAACGTGGACCTTGGCTGATTTTTTTCCCCGTTCATTAGTTAATCATGGTGCCAAAGGCATCCCATACTAAACGGATCCAGATATTTTCATCTAATCATATATGACTTGAGAATGATAGCCTAGCTGGGAGAAGGGGGAAGATGCCAGTCTACCTTGCAAGGGACCTCTGGTCACCTTCAGGCAGTGACTTATGTGACCTCCCAGTGACCTGCAAGCACCTAGTCACAGCAAGCAGTGATTTATGATGGTAAATGTCTTGTGCTGCTCAGAAAAAAGTCCATCTCTATTTTGTATAAAGTGCTAAGTGCAAGCGAGTTATTTTGTTATGCAGCTACCTCCAAACTGCCACATGCTGTTGCTCTCAATCTCTCTAAACCTGTCCGAGTGAGGGGGAAAAAAAAGGGGCTTGTTAAAACCGATCCAGTTCACAAGTGTTTTTAACTGAAATAAATGGAAGAACACCTGCCATTCAAAGAACAACTCTGGGAGTGATTTATTTTCATTACTCATCAGTTGAAGTAGAGGGCCTTTGGCACCTTATTTCCCTGGCTCCTTTTTTAAGCTCTGTCTTTTTTCCTCCCTGTCTTTATACACAGATTGAATTTAAAAGTTAAGGATAGTGAGAAGGGCTGAACTTGTCAGGTTCTGGATTGTGTGATAACTCACCACTGTGAGACATCTAGTCAAGTCTAACAGGCGTTAAGAGGGGAAGAACCGCCTAGTTTCATCTGACAGGCCTGTGCCAATTTCCTACTCAATGAGAAACTTACAGGCACTGAATCATGCAAATAAAACATGAATGAGATGTTATTACTTCAGTTAACTGTGAGCTATAACTGAATCTGAGTCACAGCTGACTTGCCATAGTAGCCTCTGGCCACTGTTCGTGCTGTGCAGTGTTCTGTCGTATCATGAATTTATTCTTTTTGCCATGCCAAATTGCTGTATTAAGTTGTGCAGCAGGAAATGTTGCTTTAAAAACTGGTAGGCTGCCTGTGCTAGTCTTAGCTTGGCCTTTTATGCGGATCTTGAAGTGGCAGATAATGGTTTCTAGAGAAACAGCTTGCTCTGTGAAGAGGATTGTGATTGTGCTCCCTGGTGTTCGGTGTGCGTAGTGCCCAAGCCCTGATGCTCCCTGTAGTGTCCTGTGGTTTGAGAGGAACGTGAGCTGGGCTGCCGCAGGGGGAGTTGGGTTGTCAGCCGTTTCAGGGGATGTTCCTCAGTTTGCCTGATTCTGAAAAGATACATTTAGGATTTGAATTCTTGGATCAACAGCACAGCAGATCCTCAGACACCGTTAGATTTTTTGAAGCACCTGAAAGTAAATCCTTCAAATCACTTGTCTTTGGGGAGTGACTGTAGAGTTACTTCTAGCAAAGGCACTGTTTTAGACTCGGGCTGATGTGAAGAAAGAGCCTGATTCTGCCCTTTTTTCTTGTTTCCTTGGGTGAGCAGTGCACCTGTACAATGTATGGCTGAATAATTTTTCTGCTCACCCAAATCCTGCAGCCTTCCATGAAAGGGGGGAAGATGGCTGAGTTAGTTCATATAGAAGGAAAAGACTTAAGGCTGGAATCAGGAAGGGTTTAACGTTATGGAGATTTGACCTTTGGAGCTTCCCCTGCTCCTGTTTCGGCCTAAGGTGGAGCTGTCCTGGAGAGTGAAGGTCTTAAATCCTGTGCAAGCCTGAGGCTGGAAGGGGGTGGATTCAGGAAGGGCACTCAAGGGACTGTGGTCTACATGATGCCTTGGAGTCCCCATCCTCAAGTCAAGCAGCACTTCATGAATCTTCACAAACAGTTCAGGCCTGATTACTGGGTATTAGTTTGGTAGCAGGAAACAACTCAATACTGTTTAATTTCCTGAGTTTTATTGACTATGCAATGATGGTGGTGAATGGCCGAGAAGGCCAAGGGCCTCCTGGCTGCTGTAAGGAACAGGGTAGCCGGCAGGAGCAGGGAAGGGATCGTCCCCCTGTGCTCGGTGCTGCTGAGGCCGCACCTCAAACACTGTGTTCAGCTTTGGGCCCCTCACTACATGGACATGGAGGTGCTGGAGCGAGTCCAAAGGAGGGCAGCAAAGCTGGTGCAGGGGCTGGAGCACAGACCTGTGAGGAGCAACCAAGGGAGCTGGGGTTCTTCAGTCTGGAGAAGGGGAGACTCAGGGGAGACCTTATTGCTCTCTACAACCACCTGAAAGGAGGCTGCAGTGAGGCAGGGGTCGATCTCTTCTCCGGAATAACTAGGATAGGACAAAAGGAAATAGCCTCAAGTTGCACAGGGGGAGGTTCAGGTTAGACATTAGGGTGAATTCTACACAGAAAGAGTGGTGAAGCCTTGGAACAGGCTGCCTAGGGAAGTGGTGCAGCCATCATCTCTGGCAGTGCTGAAGAAACGTGTAGATGAGATCCTTAGGGACATGGTTTAGCAGGATGGTGTTCAGAGGCTTAGGGTTGGACTCAATGATCTTGAAGGTCTTTTTCAATCATACTGATTCTATGATATAAGTCTGTAAACAACAGGAGTTCAAGGTCAGCAAAAGTCAACATGTGATATCTGTGCAGTCATACTCCTCAGAGCTGCTATTTCAGTATCAACATTTTCTAAAACAATCTGTGCTTCGTCTAATCTTGATACTTTGGGGCTTAAAATAGAGAAATTGCTGTGGTTTGTCAGCATTATTCAGGCTTCAAGTTACAAGGTTCTTCCAAATACTATGCTTAGGTCTTCTGCTTATCTTAAATGGAATGTGTTTTATTCTGAGGTGGAAGGTCCCGTTCCCAGTGTGGGATCTTTCTCTAATTCCTTCCCAAATTCCTCTTTCACACTGTCCTGCTGGGCAGCTCAGTGACTTCTGCACCACCATGCTAGGATGCTCAACAGTGTTAGAACTCCAACAAAAGGGAGAAGCATGACTTTTTGGGGAAAGGGCATGCAGTATCTTGAGAAAGAAGTTGTTACATCATGAAAGCACTGATAGCAGCCTCCTGGGCTGGGGCAAATTCCCAGAATTCCTGGGAGAAGCCGAGGAATATGGTACTGCTGTTACTGTTCTGTAAAACCAGTGACTTCTGCAGCACAGACTGTCTGAAATCCTATAGTGAGTGTTTGCATGTCCCGAGGTGTTTTAGGACGAGAAGTGGTGTTACCCTCTTGCACCAATCTGCTGGTGAGGTAACCATGCTCTTGCACAGTGTGGGTCAACAGCTTCTGTGGGGCCTGCTCTGGTTACCTCTTCTGGAAGTCTAGTGTATATGGATCATATCACTTGGCCTTGTTCAAAATGTTGCTTTGTTGTGCCTATCCATTGACTGTCCATACAGTGCTCCCCAGCATACAGCATATCCGGGACCTTGTAATCCTGGGGCAGGCTCTGACCTCAGAGAGAAACTTAACAGAAAAGAATTTACCAGAAACTTACCAGGAAAGGAGGTGGGATATCCACAGCTGCCTGAGCAGCAAATGCATTAGCTAGTGAAGGATGAAGTGGAGGCCTCGCTGAACGCTCGGTTTTCTGCATGAGGTTGCAGAGAGGTCTGCAAACCTTGATGCCAAGAAGGCTTTCTTGACAGACTGCCAGGCAGCAGCATTCAACCTAGCAGGACTTCCAGCAGCTTCCTGCCATTTGCTTAAGGGAGTCTGCCAACTGAAGGAATATTTTTCTAGTAAGTTCTGTACTAGCCATACTTCAGGCTGGTGAGAACACGAAGGTCACTTGTTGTCCCATACTGCAGGACAAGCAGGTAGAGCTCAAGGCTCTTGAGACTTTAGGCTGTGCCAGTTTTCATTAGACAACAGAGTAAACCAGCAAAATGCTTTACCACAATAAATGTAAGTCCAAATAAGTTTTATCATACCATGAAAAAACATGCCAGAGACAATGTCATTTAAAAATGCTAAAAAAACCCCTTGCTTTTATTGCTGTTTTCTCCTTACGTATTTTCTACCTATTTTCAATATTAATACAGATTTTCACCTAAGGATTTTGAGTATTAATCACATATCTTCTAAAAAGGAAAATGTATAAAAGTCACATTAAGCCTAGAACAAGAGTATAAAATCAACACTTTCTAACTCTTACAACCAAAGGAAATCAAGGTAACTGGCTGTTAGCCACTATCTGACTGTTTTTAGCTTGTACTCCACAGCGCAGCTCCTCTTGAAAGAACAAATGCTTTCTCCCTGGAACAGGAGAGAGGACAGATTTGAGTGAATGTTACCAAGCAGTTGTTTAATACAAAAGAGAACTTCCTAAACAGTAATTAAACTGCTTTTCCCTGCCCCCTCTCTTGAAGGTAGAGATTTTTGCACAAACTACTGCATTTCCAGAACAACCTTTAAAAATATGTACCCCCTCTCTACTTTCTTTCACATCTCTTGGTCTACTTTCTGGTCTTTCTTTACACAGAGCACACAATTCACCAGTGTTTTACTTTCTGGTCCAGCACAATATACGCTATCTCACCGGCATGCAACGCAAGAGGATCCAGTGTCAAACTAGAACTATTGGAAATAACGAAGCCTCCAGAGAAGTGAAGAAAATTCCTCTCTGAGCTAAGAATGCACTAGTGATGTTACTATTACCTTCTAGGAAGGGTTGTCCCATGCCAGGAGAGATGCCTTCTTACTTTTGTTCTGCTCTATCACTGTGATACTTCCATCTGCATGTGCCTCTCCGGCCATGTTGGTAGCATGACACTGGTAGATGCCCTCATCTTCCTTCATTAGTGGGTTAATCTGTCAAAATCCACACAGAAAATATTTTATGCAAATATATTCTGGAAGGAAACTTGGGATTGACTCTCACAACTAAGATGATCTGAGCTTTTCTAATTTGCCATCTGTTCAAAATGGGCATAAAATGTTCATCTGCTCTGTTGAACACATTTGACTGGATGTTCCTCCATGGTCCTTCTCTTACCACTCTCACCAGGGTGCACTATATAGAGATGATTGAAAACTGTTAATTTTCCCTATAATCAGGATCTCTTCCCCATTCAAGCTTGTCCTTGAGCAGTTTTTTCTGATGTACTTACCAAAACCCACGCTGTGCCCTCGTGTTGGGAAGGTCCTCCCCGAACTTGTACGGCCATGTTCACTCTGTCTCCAGGCAGTTCCTCCATAAGTTTGACTCCTTTGGGTGATTCTGAGACCTGCAAATTTTCGTAAGAGTGGGAAGATACTAGAAACATTTACTCATGACACGGTTCTCTCTTTGTCTACGATGTGACACATCTAAATAAGCAGACAGAAGAGCAGCATGCAGCACCAACAGTAGCAAAAAGTGGGGAATGTGCTCACTGGCAAGGTGCTCCATGAAGCTGCAGAGAAATACAGTGGTGAAATGCACCTATTCCTGTTTGCACCCAACCAGTGTCAGGACCTTCTGGTCCCTTTATTTTTCATCATTCCTGGAGCTGGGGCCTATAGGCCCTTAGGAGCATCTGTCTCAAGCTTACATAAGTCTCCCGGGATAGCTCCAATATTAATGATGAAGAGGAGACCCCTTCTTATCATACGTTCAGGACTTTGGATAGCACCTCTGAGCACTTTTCCGTACTTCTGAACACTCTGATCTGTATGCCCTTTGTCCGTCATGTATTCTTCAAGGTGCTCAGTGTTCCTCTGAGGTTCAGCACAGAAGCCCTGCAGACCCAGTCCTCTAGGTATCTGATGAGCTGAGGAAACTTTGGATGCAGATTTTATTGTGCGATTCATCCTGAAATGTTCTCGTGAGTGACTAACAACTCCTACAATGAAGGAAGGCTCACAGGAGATGGGCAAGAGCTACGTCATCCTGGAGCTAAGAAATCATGTAGGATGTAACTCACTAATCCGTTGCCCAGAGAACTGACTTTATCTTAACACACAGGGCACCAGAGGATGACCTTCGTGTTCGATAAGCAGTTGTAACTGCTGAGTGCATTATTTGGTATAAATCTTTCTTCCTGAGCTGATCAAATCCATGTGTAGGTATCCCTGAGATTAGCCATTGCAGCATGAGGGAAGTGTAGAGATAGCTCAGCCAAACATGGGTATAAAACCTGAACAACAAACAAGGAATTTCGAAGACAGCAACAGACGTGAACTACCTTCAGCCCATGTATTCCTTCCCGGTGATTAGGGATGCCCAGCAACATGACAGTATGCATGGAATATCAGGAAGAATCTGTTTAGAGAGCACTCTCCTCTGACAGTTCTCATCAGAGAACATGAGAACTGTTCTTGTTGCCTTCAGACACAGAGATAAAGCTGTGTAGGCAAACCACTAGCATGACATAGGCTCTGTTTTACCAGACATAAGGGTATATATGCGCTTAGCGTACACCACACTAGCTCTGTTGACTGCTTGGGCTGGTCCCTGCTTCACAGTGTTTGGCAAGGCAGTCTGACATGGTTAATTATCTTAAAGTAATGTGAGGAAGACACTTTAATTCACCAGAAACTCTCAGGGAGATAAAGACTGGACCCTCACAGATGGAAACTGATGGCTATAGAACTGTTGGAAAAATCTGGCCCTATGCTGTGCTAGGCAGCAGGCAGAACTATGTGAGTGCAGGTACCTGCAATGCAGTACAGTAACAGAAAGCATGCGTAAGAATGCAGAGTCACATCTGTATCTACACACTGAAGTAGTCCTCCTTTACTAGGCCCCCCAGCATACCTTTCTCCAAGTGATGATAGGAGTGGGCACAGCCTTTACTTCACAGGAGAGATACACCTGGACTCCAGTGACATTGTGAATTTTCTTTGGTGACACAACAATCACAGGAGCTAGAAGAAAAGAAATACCTTCCTGGAGGCAATGCAGCCCCTTGTTATGATCCAGCATTCCCCATAGAATCATCGTAGAATCATAGAATCATTATGGTTGGAAAAGACCTCCAAGATCATCAAGTCCAATTTGGATGACAACACTAACGCTGTTTTCTCCTCTAGACCCACAGAAGCCCCTTGTGTGATTTCATGCTTACTCCTCCATGCGTTTCTCATTCTGGCCTTCTCTGGCATCAACTGATCAGCTGGAGACCAGTGCAAAGGAACACGTAAAAGGCAGTAGAAGCAACAACAGAAGCATTAACGCTGAAGTGCCTTGACTGAGGTTCATGAGCCACATGTGCCATACAGACTAGGTGCAGATGCCATTGCTCAGTCACAAATGGTTTGCATTTCTCTCCCAGCCAGAAACAGTTTGTGTTTTAAGCCCTCTTGCCTGGAAACATCACTTTCACCATTCAATGGAGTAACTCAGCCATGTTTTGCTTACCACCAGGTAGCTCAGAGCAAATGTGTTTCTCCCATTCTGCTCAGCTTTTAGCAATAGATAGCATTTTGTGGTGCAGTGCAGGCAAGGAGGGTAGGACAGGGCACCACCTAAATAGATCAGGAGAACAGCTGTAAACCCATGGCCACAGCCACAAAGTGCTATTCTAATCATATAAAGAAAATACAGGAGAGGCCAGACACTTCTAGGTCTAAGCATGTACCATTGCAGTGTAATCAGAAATGTGAACCCTCCATGCACTTTCTTGTCTCTCCTCTATATGCACCAGAACTAGCTGGTCTGAAATTTGGGATGTTTAAACACTAAAGCAGATACTTTCAAAATAAATATAGGTTTAACTGCCACTGAATCAAAATTCTCAGGAATTCCGTATCAATTTTGTTAAAGATGATGCTAAATCAAAGTTATACTAACCAAAGCTAAGACAACTGTAAATAAAATGTTAAGGACAATTACTTTCCTAAGATGCAGTGCCCAGGGCCCTGAAGCTCATGTTTCACATCTGAGTCACATCTGCAGGGAAGATACCAGAAATAACTCTGAGGATAGCTGTTGTTAAGAAAAGAAATGTGCCTCTGCTAGCACCAATACTCCATCACCATCACCTCAGAGAGCTCTTTCTAATGTATCTCAGCACAAGCTGAAATATCTCGTCACAATGGGAAGCTCTGGTTTGGCACAGAAAGGATCATGTGGAGTGTTTTTTTTTTTCAAGAGATGGTGCTTAGCTGTATGTTTCTAAAACCCAGACAAGTCCACAGCAATCTGTTGTGAGTCATGTTTCTCATTTAGCTATGTCAATAGTCTCCAGAGAGACTCCTGGGACAAAATAGCTCATTTGCAAGCATTGAGAAGGGAGAAATTTCGGTGAGGCTCAGATGCCTTTTGTCTCCCTATAAGTCTGTATTATCTTTATTTATTTATTTTTTCTCACGAGAAGCTGGCTTTCTGGGTGTATTCTACAGCAGCATTTACTAATTATGGTGGATCTTCTCACAGAGCATGCTCTTGCCAAATGAGGACAATTTTCTAAAAGTGCATCTGCCTCAACAAGGAAGGGCACAAAAAGGCAACAAAGAACGAAACAAAAAATGTTGCAAGTAGGCATCCTGAACACTGTTCCCTCCACTCCTCTTTGCACAAGCCCTCTTCCTCCTCTATTAATAGGGAGTGCAGGAGGGAAGCCCTGCACATCACAGAATCACACAGAATGGTTCAGGTTGGATCTCTAGAGATCATCAATCCATACCCAACAAATTGCTAGTGCTGCAGTGAGGATTTCCCAGCTTGCTTGCCAAATTCATCTCCGCTCTATGTAAGGCTTCCCGTTGTGACCATTTGGCACCTGATCCCACTCGTGAGCCATAAGCAATATGTGGGCACAGACTGAATATCTGCTGCTGGACATGTTCTCAGCTGGAAGAGGAAAGATTCACCCCCACTGTGTGACTAGTGCCTCTGTGTCAACTAGTACAGGAGACACCGCTCCTCGAGAAATCAAAAGAAAATGGGGGGAAAAAAAAAGCCCATCTGTTACAAGATTCTCTATGTGCAAAATTACTGTTGACAGATGAATATTTGTGGTAATGCCACTTAATTGAGTCTGTAAGAAGACAAAGTGTCCTAAACAGAATGCACACTTAGGTCCCCGTAGATGCAAGGATTACTACCTGCTGAGTCCATTCTACTTTCAAGGATTCTGATGAGCTCGTGACTTAATGGTCTGCATCTGCTTTAAGACTCCTTTATACTCAGATGCAAATTTAAGCCTTTTGTGAGAAGGAAGAATACTTTATGACAGATTGCGAGGCTCAAGTGGGGTATTATGCTCAATGATTTGTGATGCTGCATGGCTTTCAAAACTAATTGCCTGTCTAGGTGCTGTGCTGCCAGAGACACCAGCTCTTAGCCTGGTGATGTTCAGAAAAGATTATCTACTAAAAAATAAGTTATTGCTGCTGTAACATACTCCAAACAATGTTCTAAATAATCCACTTGAAATAAAATAAAATAAAATGAAACACTGATTCTTGCAAGTACTTCTAGGGTACACAGAAAACTGAGGACATGTTTTAGGGTATGAAGAAGGGTATGACAGCCTGCACTCTTACCCTGATCCACTTCAACTTAGAACTTTTTGATTCTCTGAACTGGGTTTGTCTCAGAGGCATTTAGAAAAAGTAGCATTTGGGTTGTTACAGGGAATCTCTGCAGCTCTGTCAGATCCTAATATTAACATGCCTTTCCTTCCCGTGCTCTATCAGAGCATTTTATGCCGCAGCCATCAGTGCAATCATCTCCCAGCAAAACTCATGCTTGTTCCATAAAACTGACTTTAATAAACAAGTTATGTGTGGACGGCTGAGTCCAGACACTCAGGGCTGGATTATTTCTTTTATCCCACGTAGAACCAGGGCACAGTTGTACATGCATGTTAAGTGGCACTATTGATTCTGTGCTGGAGCAGCAGCCTCCAGTGCAAGGATAAACCCAGCAACCTCTTCTCTGATGACTTTCCCCTGAAGACTGGCTGATTTAAGCCTACCATTAGCACATTTGGGATTTCAGAAGACTTACAGGATGCTGAGGAGCAGAATATAGGATGGGAAAGTAATGGATTACGGGTTTGAGTGGGAACAAGGATGGGAAAACAGAACCTTGGATGTAAACAGTAACTGGTCTTGCCTTGGCCATTCCCTGTCTGGCCACGCTCTGTGCCTGACCTGCATAGGCTAGTCTGTCTTCTCAGCAAAGTCATTTTCAGCTTTTTTTTTTTTTATTTCCCTGGATGACCTTGCATATCTTGTCTACCTTGCATGCATGTCTTTGTCGGCTTGTTGGGAGCACATGGTAAGCTTCACTGCTGGCTGGACCTGGAGGCATGAAGCTGCTGCATGGCTCCCACTACAGGTTTGATGTCACAGTATGCATATATTTGGTGGCAGGAGTTCTTCTGAAGATGTTCTATTTCCTTATTTGTAGGAAGTATATTATGATCACCAACCTTAGAAATAATTAAGTTGTGCTAAGTTCATAGAGTAGGCACCTGCAAAACAAGGACATGCTATGAGAGAGCCAAATGCTGCTGAAAAGAGCCACAGAGCTGCTCCAAGAGTCAAGGGTAGGATTTCATGATGCTTCCATTGTTTTATGGCTGCTTAGTTGCAGTTCACATTTTCAGCTGCCGTGTTTCCCAAGCCTTTGATTTTTTGTAAAAAAATCTCCTCTAAAGCTTTACATCCTGTCCACAGACAGCAAAGACCAGATGGGAGCTCCCTGCCTATTCAGTTGCCCTCTGTCTTCAGCCACAGAGATAGTGTTTCTTTGTGTTGGCTGTCCATCAGAATAACCAGACTTTGTCTATTTGGGATTGTAGCGCACTTATCAGCAAAGTTTTCTCTTTTTTTTTTTCCCCCTTTTTTTTTTCTTTTTTTTTTTCAGTAAGTGATCTCCCTTTGAGCAGAGAAAGACAGAGAAAATGAACGTGGAGAAAAATTCAGTTTAATAATCCATAAAAAACACAGCAAGGCAAGTCATTAGTAGGCAAGACCTGTGCTGGACTGTACCCAAGAGAGAGCTGCAACAGAGGGGTAAAGACCTGCTGTGACAGATCCTAGAAAGCAACACCTCAAATCGGCATTTTGCCAAATGCATGGTGATTTTAGGCACTTGCTTGCCCTTTCTCTGTTACATCCACCCACACTTTCTTGCTCCGTAAAACCACAAGCACATGGTTCTGGTCACGTTGTACTGAGTGCACTCTCTTGGTGACATTTTTCACTTCTTTCAGCTTCATTTTCTCAGGGTTGAGGAACCTATCAGCATATAAGAGGAGTGGATCTCTGTAGTGTCTAGTGATACATTTGCATATCAAAGCCTGTGCAGATTGCTTTGGATTTTCCCTGAAATAGGGACTGTATTGGAGAAATTCTCTGCCTTTTGGGTTGTGACCAGCAGATAGTATAAAGTGACATCATAAGCATTCTACCCAGTGAAGAAGACCCCACTTCTGATAATCTGACCTCAGAGCATCAAAGCTGGGAGCTACCAGAAATCGGTGTTCCTCAATCCTCCTAAGGACTAGAGTCTTTTATTTACAAGTCCACATTCTGTATTCGAGCCAGAGAGCCAGACATTAGTAGGGAAACCAGACCGATGAGCTTTGTTATTCTTGCTCATCTGAATGCAGGCTCCTTGTCTGAAAACAGTAGCGCAGCTTATTAATGACAGACAGCTTGAGCTTCCAATTTTGTTAAGAATTAATCATCCATAGATGTGTGAAGATTCTTGGATAGGGACTTTTCAGGTTGCAAAGCTCTGTTGCAGCAAAAATATCATGGGTGTTTTCACTGCTCAGGAATGGACAATTTTTATTTCATCATGCTGGAAAAATGTGAAAACTGATAGTTATTTTGTATTTATGAGTTTATCTCAAATCGTTTTGTCCTGCAAAAAATGCAGGAGGGCAAAAGTAATTTGCAGGATTCTGTGCCACTTGTATGACTGTTCTCTAGGTAGCTTGGAGAACAGCATGTAGATTTAATCCGATTTCTTTATTTAGG